AAAATTACTTTAAAATATTATTAATTTTAATTTTTCATTTTTTGCAAAATGTAAAAACATAAGAATTAACTAAACGATTCTACAGAGAATTTTCATGCCATACTAATTATAAAAAAATAAATTATCTATTCTATATTTCAATTAATATGAGTTGGACACGATTACTAAATTAAAATTGAATTTCCAAAAGTTATCAGAAAAACTGGTGTGTTAAATTTAAATTTTCGTTAATGAGAAGTCAACTTCAATGAAAGAATACGTAAAAATGACAGGTTATTCGGTAAATGTAAGGAAATATATTTGAATAACATATGTCTCAAAGAGCAAATGTACATTAATATGGAATACGTACTAATGCAAAAAGCATGAGGAAGGGCAAATTAACATCCTGAAGGCTCTTATCATGGCTGACGGTTGAAGAAGGCTTAGACGGAAAGCCGGTAATCCCTTATGCCTCGTTTGAGGGATAGATGCACGTTAACAGCATGTATATAATGCACTTATCTGAATAATACATTGGGCTTAAGGACCAGTACATAAAGAACTATATTATAGATACGGGATATAGATAATCCTTGTATGACATGCAAGAATTGACGTCCGTAAAATTACTGCCATCTTTTGATCGCAGCTACCAGAGATTAAGTTAAAGAAGGAAGTATTTGTTTCAATGGCATAAATCGTGAAACATCCTGCATAATCAATCATATTCAATCTATTTAAAAGTATAACTAGTTCCGCCTTTTATTTTTCTACTAAGCGACATTATTATCGTAAAAATAAACGCTATTAAAATATATTTAAAAAACGATATTGTACAGAAAAGATCATTACTGTTTTTATCTCTGAAGAAGTGTCGTGCGTTTTGCAGGAAAATTTGTACCTGAGGAAAAGGAAAGATTGTCTAACTAGATATCAGAAATTAACATCGTCTTTGTGATCACAGGGATGTGTACAAAGCGATGATTAAGTCAGGCTAACTCTTGTCTTACCGTCATCATCATTACAACTCAAATCTAGTCATCAAATGGAAACATTCACGCATTATTTCGAGTACGGTACAGTAAAAGTCCCTTTGTGCGCCTTGCCGCGCAGTAGCGCATTCGTGAAGACATGTTTTGCTAATGATTTTTACGTCGACGTTTATTAGCCGTACGCGTCTCGCGTATTTTACTGACTCGTGATAGCCGGCGCGTTGCGAATGCATTGTGGTACGGTTACTTGTTGCAAGATAAGACTGTCTATGAATCGTGCGGCGTAGAAACGAGATACAAATTTCTCTTTATGCACGAACGCACTTCAAAAGAAATTTTATTACTTTCAGAAAGATGCCCTACTCATCGCGTTTGAAGTTTGTAAAGTTCACTTTCTCCGAAGCTTGTATATCGAATTACGAGGATTAAGTATACGTTACGCGTAATCATATCATCGTCATACCCATATCATCATCTGAATGTAACGTTAAAACATCAAAAATGCTTATAAAATATAAAAAAAAAATATGCACAGTTATTATTTTTAAAATTATGTTGCATAACTTGGTTTGGAAATTTTGCGATGCGAATTTATTTATCATATATTCGATTTCTTTTACAATAGGTGATCATTTTTCTGTAAAAAAAAAAGCTACCATAATTACACAATTTTTGGGAAAAGCAGATTTAAAAAAATTAATTGCCACAGTATAAAAGTTTTCCATGAAATTATTAAAAAACAAATATTTGATATTTTAGTGGAAGAAGAAAAATTAAACATAATTATAAAAATATATAAAGTTATTATTTTTTAAATTATCTTGCATAACTTGGTTGGAAATTTCGCGATGCGTTTATTTATCACATATTCGATTTCTTTTAAAATAGATGATCATTTTTCTGTAAAAAAAAAAAAAGCTGCCATAATTACGCAATTTTTAGGAAAAGCAGATTTTAAAAAATTAATTGGGTAAAATAAATTACTTAAACGTAGTATAAGTTTTGCATGGAATTATTAAAAAACAAACATTTGGTATTCTAGTGGAAGAAAGAAAATTAAACATAATTATAATTTTCATTGAAGTTCCATGATACGATTAAGAGACATTAGAGTTTCTAAGGTGCGATCGTAATTGAATATACGCGTTTGAAACATACAAAGCTTGCTTCCGAAGGAAGAAGCTTTTCTCCGTTGGCATGGTACACTGTCGCGAAGTAATTGGAGTTTGTAATACCATTTTCGGATAGAAACGATGAACATCATTCGCTAGTCGAGTCGCGCTGTAGAAACTTCGACAGACTAATCGATCGGACGATAAATCACGTTTGATTTAACGCAGGGCCACGATAAAATAGGATGGAAACTGACGTACGGATTCGTAATCGTACAAAGGCCGAGGTTAAGGAAAGGTATAATAGAAGAGCGGGAAGGGAAGGTTGTAAGCGGAAAACTCGTAATTTATCCTGTTTCCAGTCTTGATGCCGGGCATTTCCGCGACGCGCTAGCGATTTCCAAGAGCTTCGCGGAAACGTGGCGACGCGAATGTCATTTCCCGACGTAAATTAAGTTTGAAATCCTGCTTATTTCAGCGTGGAGATCGATGAAAGCTGCTACTAGGTAGAGCTACAGTTTGAAACAGGAAACCAGCCGTGATTCACATTCGATACAATCACTGTTAAACTCGCTCCGTTTAAAGTCGGCACGTATATGCACAATTCCCGAGAACGTAATTCTATTATTCTCGTGGAATGCTCAAATTAAATGCAGAATGCAGTGTGATCAATTTGTGTATAATTTATCCTTAAAAGACGAATTTGCAACGAATTTGATCTGAAAGCCTGTGTATTCTAAAGATTCTATCTAGTATAAAAAAACACGTCAGTAACTTTTTCATCAGAATTTGATCGTAATTAATAATACATGCACAATAAATTATTATACTTTATAATAATTTATCTTCTAATTACTATACATAGATTAACTGACAAAGAATTTATTAAAACTTTCATTAATAATTATTTTCCAATATTATTGAAGATATTTAAAAAAACAATATAATTAATCGAATAATTAATTCTTCTTGCATATTTGTATCACTCGTATATGAAGTTAATACAATTTTCACATGAACGAAAAAAAGATTATTTCTTAAGAAAATCTTAAATAATTCTTAAAAAAAAAATTTTCTAATTAAATATATAAAATAATCAAATAATAACTGACCGCATCCTTTCAGAGTAAGAAATTTTATGTTGCAGGTATAGAAACGAAATTTGCCGGTTCGAGTTGCAATGATCTCGTAACTTCCGACGGAGCTGGTTCTACGATAATCAGTGGTCATTTTGATCAAAGAATCAGATTTTGGGATACTAGAGCCGAATCCAGCTCAAATGACATTCTATTGGAAGGAAAAGTTACATCTTTAGATTTATCCCGCGGTAAGTTAATTTATTTCAATAGTTTAACCAATTAAAGACTTTTTTAAATGTTAAATGCGTATACTACCGACAATCGAAAAATTTTTATTTTGTATTGCAAACTATGTCATTGCAATTCTGATATGTAACTTATTCCATAAATATATATATATATAATATTTAATACGAATGCAATCCAATGATTATTGTTTGATATCGTTACGATAACATAATTACAGTACGTCTAATATAATATCGGAGAATAGGATTTTGATTTTATAACTGTAATGTAACTGTTTATATAACTATATGGAATTTGCTTATACATATTACAATATCGATTAAGGTATATCAAATGAAACAATTGGTTATTATCATGGTAATTATTTATATAAAATATAAAATTAAATAAAAGTATCGTCGATATTATGTCACAAAGTGTGAATATTGACATGTACATTGTATTTTATCTGTATTATTTATGTTCACGAATATTAATCTTATTTTCAACAGAATTAAATTATAGGTAATTATAATTTTCTCTCAATATTACGAAACTTTATTCATATTCTGATTAAAAGAAAGAAAGACGTTTTAAGCACGATTATAAAAATATAATTTTTGTAACTTTGCATTAATATTGAAAATAATAATAAATGTAAATTCGGTACAGAAAGTTCCTGATTTTATCTAGTTTGTGATTACAAGCAATTATGTATAAGCTTAAATATTGGAACAAAACTGTACTTCTTTGTTTATTAATAATTGAACATAAATCAGATTAAACTATTGTAGAATATCTTATGCATTTGGAGAGAGGTAAAATGATGATGACCCAATTATTTGAACGATAACGGAAATGTTATGAATTTTATACAGCATACAAAATGCGTACTTATATTGATAATTAAACAATGGGGAAAGATATTAATTGGTATTTCACGACAACTATACGATGCATTTCATTTATAGATTTTATTCGTGCTACGCAAAAATAATGTTATTTCATTTTCGCTTTTTATCGTAACGTTTTAATGACATGAATGAATTGGCTCGCGCGATTCTGCAGTATTCTCAAAGCACTTGTATCAGCTGCAAATGCGCCCCGTTCGTACAAAAGTACTTCATTGAGATATATTATTCTATCGCACTTCATTAATCCGCCGATATTGCCGCCGGAACACGAAATGAATTCAAGTGTTGTCAAGCACTGTTGGTCCGATTTTTAACTTCTGTAGTTAAGCAGATATATTGCATCTCTCTGATATTTTTTTTATTGTTCGTCGTTATGTATTCATTTAAAAGAGAGATGAAACAATCTCAAATGGTCGATATGATCGATATGACACGAAAGGAAATTGTAAAAAAATCGTTTCAACGCACGATGAATCTATATAACTTTACTACATCGTAATTAGATTTTTAACGCTTAGAATTATTGCGTCATTCTATAGATGCGCTTTTGCTGATGGTTTACGTGTTCGATACATAAGAGATATTTGTTCAGTTGATGTTGCAATGCCGCAAACATTCACGCGCTAGCAGTTTAAATATTATTCAATCTTGTGCACGATTGTGAATTATAAAGGAATCTATTCGATTTCAGACGCAAATTACCTTTTGAGCTGCGTGAGGGATGACACGGTGAAACTGATTGATTTACGAATGAAGAAGATTGTCGGATCGTTCAGGTAGGTCGTGCATTTTTGTCATACATGCATAAGTAGAATGTTGAAGGTAGTAAATCGTCGTATTTTAATTTTATTTTACAGCGCTGACGGTTTTAAAGTGGGATTCGATTGGACAAGAGCTGTTTTCAGTCCTGATGGACAGTACATAGCGGTTGGTTCCGCCGACGGTTCCGTTTTTATCTGGTCTATAGTCACGAATGCGATCGAAACAATACTGAAAGAGCATACGTAAGTAAAGCTAACATATTATCGTAATATTTGAAAAATATTAATGTAGAATCTCTTTTTCTGTAAAAAAAAGTAATTAACATGAAAACATAATAAATTAAAGTAATTACACGTTAAAGTTACTTTAATGAAGTAATAATTAGACGTTATTAGTCGCATATATATTCAAAATGATATAAACGGATCGAGCTTTAAAAGAAAATTATAAAGTAATTCTGTTTAGTTAATCGAACTCATATATATGTGATTTATATAGTTTTATTATTTTTATCCTTCTGATGTTATATATTTTTGATCGAATATTTAGGTTTCTGCCCTAGAGACAAAAAACGGTCCTTTCATATTGGAATGTGCGATACCGATATTAAAGCTTATGCCGTTAAAAAATGAGCGGAAAAAAAGACTAATAAATTTTATAAAACTTTAATCTATGTTTGCCAATGATGAAAAGACATATTAAAACGAGAAATTTTGTTCCCGATATTTTATCGAATATTGATTTAGAGCTAATCCGAGATATTGAAGGCAGTTTGGCTACGCCAATCTTTCATAAAGCTCGTCGTCTTATCTTAGTAATATTTAATATTGCCCTTTTTTGCAGTTTTCTTATTTTGTAATCTGATCTTATTTTATGTTATTATGTTAAAATCAATTATTGCTTTTATCTATAACACGATCCAAAGATATTGGAATGTACCAAATTGACGTTTATGTTTCCAAGTGTTTTATTAAATTTATCGTCAGCACTATGATCCAGAGATTATTTTCTAGTGCTGTGTTTGCGACATTTCTCCCGTCGATGTGCGATTTTATTTGCGGTTACGAAATCGATAGCGTGTCCTCGCTATTGTCTCTCTATTTCGACGTATGACACCATAATTTATTTCTTTTTGCTTCTTTTTTATCGCGTTACGTTTTGACGAATGCGAAGTTCTCGTTTAAATTCGCTCGCTAGGGTACTAAACTAGAGCATCCGTAATTTTTAGAGGCACCTTTGAGTGCTCGGCATATCCACCTGACACGAAAAGTTTCTGAAGTACTTCAGTCCATCACACGCAGCGTATATATATATATATATATATATATATATATATATATATACACACACACACACTTACATACACACGCACATGTACACACATAGTGAAGAAAAAGATTCGCAGCGGGAAGAGACGCCCCACACACACACAGAAGGAAATCTAAGAAAATATTTCGACGTAACCCGATTTTTCCAACTTTTACGTTATACATCCACGTACACATAAACCACCTGTGTCTATTCGCGATATCGCGAATTTATCAGGGCATCTTGAGTGCTCGGAAGTCTTGCCGGAGTCTGCGTCGACTCTTATCATTGATTATGTCGCTCCGAATGATCTCAGGTTTGTCCACCGGCTCTCAGAGCACGGAAAGCGAAAACGCGAAAAATCCGTGGAAAGAGAAAGAAGTCTCGCGATGCAGCGAGAAAGTGGCATAGACAGCAATATATCTCGTCCGCGTGCTTTCAGCGCCCTTTCACCTACACGAGTCACGTTGATGGACGCGTTAATCGGCGGTATCTCACGGGGGAATGCAGCGTAAGGATCGCTTCTACTACTGAGGTGCAGAAAATCGATATGTTTTAAACACTAAAAACGTCAATTATGTTATTACAGCCACAGGGACGGTTAAACATGACATTACCTGTAAATCAATAGCAAGCGCGGTTAACAATTTCCGGGTATCCCTCGTAACAATAACTTCACAATACCTAACAACTCATAAATTGACGAACAATTGAAATACCTAGCTCCTACCTGCGAGAGAAACCTACTTCAACAAAATTAACGTAACATAAATTTGTTAAATTATCTCTTTTAGTCCTATTATATACAATAAATACAGTCACAGGAATTAATGATCCGGATAGTGTGCCATCACATCGATAATTTCTTCAAATTGTTGTCCGTTAAAAATTTTCTTTTTATATAAGCATTACGGCACTAATAGTTTATATTTATATTTGAATAACTGATTGTGAAATCAATCCCGTAATGCGTATGTGGAGCACACACGCAACTTTTTAACATCCGGAAAATTGTTTAAAAAAATTGTCGATGTAATAATAGTGCACTGTCCGGATAATTAGTTTTATATAACTGTACATGTACTTTATAATTACGTTTGCGTCTATAATTTATATTAATTCAAAATGAAAAAATTATTGGACAAAATTGAAACAAAAGTCGTTATTTTTCTCGACGTGAAATAAGTTCTATATGGTTGTTAAATGCCGATAACGTTTAATTATTCGCGATTGAAACATGTCATGTCTCGTACCAATCAAACTATCACGTTCGTGGTAGCAACAATTAGTAATTACGCGCGTGTTGAAGCATTTACTAACGTAATTGGTTTAATAGTTCATCATTGCAGTAGTAACATCATACGCAAACATTAATACTGTCATATTTAGATAAGTAATAATAGTTTGTTAAACATCTATTAGAAAAGCATCTTTTTTACAATTTTTAAATTTATCGAGTGTTAGGGCTAATACATATATTAAGTCATATGTGATCTGTAGATCTATTAAACTTTAGTATAACTTTTCATTATAAAGCAAAAATGCTGGCTCTATAAAAATATACAGTAAAAGAAATATTTAGTATTTTGTTGGAAATGGTCCACTCAAGTCCTTGTTAAAATTTTGTATTGAATTTTTAATACATCGAGTATTAATTTAACAAATTAATGAAAACAAATGTGATGTAAATATTTAAATATTTTATGTTAAATTGATACTCAACATTTCTTAATGTCGAAGTAACACAATTTATAAGTAAGTGAACGAATAACATAAAAATAATGTTTTAAATGTAAACTTTAAAATTAATATATAAAATACGTGTTAATTTAACATATCATAAATATTAATTTTACTAAAAAAATGTGCTTCCACAGTTTACTTTCAAATTGTGTCAGTACTACCTTTCATGCGTTCATTCTTCTTACATAATGTGTTGCTTTCTAACATCTTGTGTTAAATTAACACAAAAATGTGAGTGAACCGTTTGGGACACGTGAAAAATGTGTTAAATCTAACACAAATTTTCCAACTGTATATTCATGCCTCTTTATTTTTCGAGAGTTTTCAGTGGAAAGTAAGAGATACTTGTTGAAAAGAAAGTAACCCGTTGCGCTTCTGGCCCCGTTTCCATCCATACACGAGGCACAGCGACGATCGTCTTGAACGATCGACCGAGTCTCGCTTAGGCGAAGGATAGATCGTAAGATCCGTTCTACGATTATCGTCTTTCCCTTCTTTCCTCGCGCGGGAACGCGCGCTCCTCTCTGTTGTGGCGGCCGACCATGCCGTCCTCGGCCTCCTCGAGTTTCTCAAGGACGCCGGATCTTTGGCGGTGGCTTCTTCTCTGGGAAAGCCCAGCGGGCGGCTCGAGCGTCCGGCGTGCATCTAAGTACCGGTCGTATCGAAAAATGGCTTAAGCACCAGTCACGTACACGTCGCCCGGTGCCGATGTGCGCGGTTTCTCGCGTACGAGTATATACGCGCGTGTTTCACTGTTATTACTTTCACCCTGGACATAGACAGCGTTCATCGCCGTGGTCATCGTCATCTTTCGTCGTCGTCGTTGTCTCCCGTCTTCCCCGGCCTCTTCGTCTTCATTCTTCTAGCAGGTCGTCATCGTCTTGCCGGTTGTCTTCGACGACTTCGCCTTCGTTTTCGCCTTCGTCTTCGTAGCGATCATCGTTCGCGGTCGCTGCGATGCGATGCGCTACATCGAAGGTAGATCGTACGTAATTCGTACGTTGCGCTCGCTCAGGAATCTCCGAGACTAACTTAATAAGCGTCTCGCCCTTTCACCCTCTTTTCTCCATTCGTGTAATCTTATGGCACTCCGTAAGAAGCTATACGATTCCGTAGGTATTTAATGCACGTGCTCTCCGGGTGCGCGCATCTGCGCGATGCGAGTAGGCGCTGCCTGTCGCGGTGCGAGCTATGAAATTTAGATGTTATGCGAAACGCGCGAGTATGCGAATTAAGGTAATAGTCGCGGAAGCCGACTAGTTCGTTTCCACGATATCTTCCGTACCAGTAAATCCGTGGTAAATGTTACGACGATTTTACAAACGTTATTTTCACACAAGGAGTAGTTATACACTCTTCTTGCAAAGAAAATTTGCGTATAAAATAATACTGCGTATAAAGTAATAAATATATATGAAGAAAATATTATTATATGAATTTTTTTCAATCTCCATATCTATATATCAAATACAAAGGAAATTTAGTCGCTTGTATCACTTTTCTTTTATTTTAATGTTATTTTAAATTTCTCTGGTATTCTGTGTACATTAATTCATCTTTATGTGACATACATAAAGCTATTTAAAAATAGCCGTTTTTATGCGTTCTAATAAACGCACGTAAGCTGCTCTGTTGCTGTTCGTTCCGTACCAATCGAGGAGCTATTCGGCATAACTTCCTTTCTGCGAGCACTTAGACTCGAATGCGCAATATTGCCCGATAAGCTTACACGCCCGTTCGTGTTCTAATTTGCAATCAACCGGCAGAATCCGCCACGGTACACACGTCGGAAGGCGGGAATTTACTGCGCGATCCCCCAGCGAATAAATAGTGCAGCGCGATTATGGCAGAACAGGTAATTAGGAAAACAGGGAAGGATCAGGTTACCGAGATAAGTTCTGAGGTTCGAAATTAAAGTGCAGTTTCCTCAAACTATAATTTCGATTCGGCACATTATGGAATCAGTGACCTCATTATATTCGTATTCGGAACTTTTCAGAGAAATGTATAAAAGTCGCCAGATATTTTCCGCTCATTTTATCTCTCCTATTTTATTGCGAGTACTGCTTATTGGATTTTAAAGCAGGTAAAGATATTATTCAGAAGTTATGAATAGTAAGTAATTAATCGATTAATACTGTTAAAACACAGCTCATAAAGTTATCATCTTGTCTTTTAAGTCTTCAAACAT